GGACATCATGTTTTTTTATTTGGAAGCGTGTATGGTACATACATGCTTAGAACTCAAAGGAATCTTCTGTTGAAATATGAATTCCAGGAAGCACTTTCAATGTTCTTAGAATGGAGAAAGACACTCTGGGGTGGTGTTCTTCCTTCTCCTTTGCACAGAGAGGTGATCAACGGCGTCTGTATCCCCCACAGTTCAAAGTTCCATTAAGCTGTGGTGAGGAACAGGACCGGGGGTTTTATTCATCTGCCTCCCAGCCTGGTGGCCCAGTAGGTCAGGTGTCAAGATGAAGCTGTCTGCTCCTGGGAAGATTTACAGTCTTGGAAACACTACGAAGCAGTACTGCACTGTCCTTTAGGGGCGCTGTTGAGTCAGAATCGGCTCAATGGCACTTGGGTTGGCTCCCTTAGCTCCCTGTGATGTTATAAAAGTGAAATGCATGATTCGACAGGGAAAGATACAGGGTGGGACGCTGGGGCATTTAAGAGGGTGTTCACCTGACAGGACCCCAGCAAAATTAATTCCATCAGAAAAATATCACTCAGACTCTCACGCACAGAGGGGAAAGTGAGGATGCGCCCCATGGTGGGGATGGGGATGGGGGATGGCCAGCGACAAGGTGGTGTTTATTTATAAACCTCACTTTGGGGCTTCAAAAGGGGGAGGCTGAGGGAAATAATGGTTTAAGTTAATTTGTGCCGTTGCCTGCTCTTCAATCTTGATGCTGTTAACCAGGCTGTTTCCAATGGCTTTTAGGCTTCAATGGATGCTTGTGTTCTTTTTTCCTTTTTCTTCTTCTCATTCTCAGTCGCAATTGTCTTAATCAGATTATTCTCACACACTTGTCACAGCAGATCTATAAATGCGCGTAATAGATTCGCTGATTTCCAAATAATACACTTAGAGTCAATACTCGTTTGCGAGGCCGACCAAGAGGCTTCCAGAGGGGCTGACGGTACCTTAAATGCCACCTGGATGATTTCCTCGGTGTTGGCAGGATTGCACAAGACCGCCAGGCCGATCACATACTCTCGGAAGTCGATACTGCCATCGTGGTTCTGTGAAACAAGGGGAGAAATGAATGAGGAGGGCCACTCGTGGCAATGAACACTCATCACAGCTCCCATGGTGACATTCAGGTATGCCACCTACCCCGCTCAGCATCTTGGTGCACTGAAGCTGATTGACAAAAAAGTCCCTGGTGAGAGAGAACATCAAGCATGTAGCTCACCGTTTCCAGAAGGAACAAACACGCCTATATCCTCGGAGCAATAAAATCGGCACCTTGGAGCACTGAGGCCATTTAGGGTGGCCCTACAGCAACCAGAGCGGGATCCTGGGCTCAGGCCTGATGGGAACCCCACTTTCATGCTTCATTCATCCTAGGTAGCACCACACCATTCATTTCAGCACACATGGGAGCCCTGCCTTGAAGGCCAACCCCAAATGCCTTCACGTACAGAGAGGCCCACGAGGTGTACGTGGGAAATGGATGGGCGAGCAAGCGGTACATGGAGGCCAACCTCACAGCTCTAGGCTTTCTTTCGTCCGGGCTTCCTCTGCAGAAAACCAGAAGTGCGAGCGAAGCTCGGCCCCTCCATTGGCCCCTGGGAAGATCAGGCCCCAGAAGCTGCGGACCGTTGAAGAAGTCCGTTGCTGAGGCTCCGGCTCCGGAAACCAAACCTAACTAGGCTTCCCCGGTCATGGAAAGGCTGCGGAGGCCCTTCATGACGGCAACTAGACGAGAGGATGAGAGGATGGGAAAGGCAGAGCCACATGAGATACTGAGCTTCTGCCGCACCACATTAGCAATTCACCAAGAACACAAAAGAGAGAGCTTAAGGAGGAAGGGAGGTGTAGGGACGGAAGGATGGGGGGGGGGCGGGCAAAGAGAAGGGGGAGTTGACGGAAGGGAGAAGGGAGAACACAGGAAAAGGGATGGGGAGTGGGAGGGAGATAAGGAGGCGAGGAGGGACTTGGGCGCACACACACTCTGGTGATCCATCCCAGGTGTGAGAGTCACGTTGGCAGTGCAGTCTTCAAAGGATGCGTTCCCAGACAACCTGTGAGCAGGTCAGAACAAAGCCAGCGCAGCATTTGCCAGATGAACCAGCGCTGTCGGCACCAGCAAGCTGGTCATCGTCACCCGTGACTACAGCCATGCATCTGCAGCCCCTTAAGGGCACAACGGTGCTTCTTGCACCAGTGCAGTTGAACACTTGGGTGGGCACCAATAACAATGCCACCCTCTTCTCAGCCACCCTTACCTGGGGTCTTCACGTGAGAATACGGGGGTTCTTGGATGAACTTGGGGAAAGGGCGTGGGAAGCCTCGAAATGGGATGAGATTTTCCGCCCTCCCCCATGCATTTTGTCTAGGGAAATATTTCCACAGCTGTTCAAAGGCCGGCAAAGACACAGAAGGCCCCACAGCACTTCTCCCACACAACACGGCAGACATGGCGAGGGCTGATCATTTAGTCTCCCTTGGCCGCTGCAGGTGGTGAGACAGGGATACGAGGTTTCCCTAAAGAAACTGAGTTTGTTCTTGGGAGGGGAGACCCATATCAGCTCACTTCCAATTCTGTCAGGCTTCCAGCTTGGGAGAACTGTCCGTTTTCCATCAGATTGGTTTTTGTTCTTAAATGGACTTTACTGAGTTATCATTTACATTCAATAAAAATGTGTCCATTTTGACTAATGCATAGAAGGCCAGGAGGCCAAGCACCGCCCCCACCCCCCAAACCACCTCTTCATCACTCCGGAGAAGAAGAGGGTACAGGGGAGCCATTGCAGCCTCCACAGCACTTTGCTTCTGCGTTAAGGAAGCCTGTCTTAGAACTGCCCGCAGGGGTTTGCAGGGCGGGGAGGGGGGGCGAGGGGGGGAACTGAACTATCGCAATGACTCATTCACATCTGGGGGCCTTCTGCTCAGGCTTTCTCCACCAAACAACGCAAAAGCCCCCCACGGGGAACTGCTTCTACCTCTGATTACTTATGCCTGGGCGAGTTAAGGTCATAATATTGTCTGAATGACAGGAAATATCCTTTGAACTTTATGCCGTGTCTTTATTGTGAGAGTCCACATGTTTTATCTGTGCTGACCCCTTATACAAGAATGCAGGTCGAATATATCATAACTCAATTTTACACCGAAATGTAATAGATCCGGCGGGGCACTGTCGGTGCAGGAACGCAGTGGGGCTTTGGGGCCTTGGGGTCAGGATGAAGAAACCCACCTCAAAGGTCCCGGGAGCAGCTCTGGGGTCTGGGTCGGCTGCCATCAGGACAGGGTCGAATAGGGTAGTGGCTGTGGCAGGTACCTCATGGGGGCCGCTGTGTGTTTGGAGAGGACGGCTGGGGCTGGGAACGGGCAGCAGCAAGACCTGTCCACCAGGCCGGTGGCCCGTGGGTCCTTTGAGGGCGTCTGCTGGGAGGGATACAAAGAGGCCTTGGAGGCGGGGAGGCGTCTCAGCAGCAAACAGGGTCTGGTTCTTGGGCAGGTCCTGGGGAGCCTACCCTATGGTCTTGGGTCTGCACACCCCCACATCCACCTAGCAGTACGTGGAGGAGGGAGCCCAGGTCTTCCTCGGCTGACAGCTGCCTCTCCTCTGGGTGTCCCGGTAGAGCAGCAGGGAATTGCCTGTCAGGGCCACTGTGAGCAACTCTCTGTCCCCACAGTCACCCCACACCAGCTCCCAGGGCCAGCAGGCCATTTGGGCCCTTTGTTCCACAATGTCCATTTGGAATTCCCAACATGGTGGGAATTCCCAACATGAGAACACGGTGGGTCTCATGCCTGAGTCTCAAGCTCCTGTTTCCTAAGGTGGTTTTAACCACACAGGATCAGAGGCTGCTTACCACTTGTTAAGTGCAGGTACACGTAAGGATACGGTGATGAATGGCTTTTGAGATAATGAGCTCCCAGAGGTAGGGCCTGTGTTCTCTGTGCTGGGTGGACTCTGCTGTTACATCTCACATGACAGCATCTCCCTAAGGAGGAGACCCTCGGGGGCTGAAAAGTCATGTAAACGGCACATAAAGTAGAACTGACTGGACAGTGTCCACTCAACCGGCTATAAAGATGCTCTATAAATCCAGAGGGGTGTTACTATTTAGATACAGTAAATCCTCAGTCACCCAGAGGCATCAGGGAAGAGGTTCTGATGGAGAGACTATTTCTACCCAGGTGTAGAACTGTTTTACTAATTTGCTGGGAATTCAATTGCTTTAATCCACCTTATATTAAAAGTAAAAAATTTTCAAAGTAACTCTGAAGGCACTTGGAGACCTCTACCCTGTTGCTGTCAAATCGATTCTAACTCAGCGCAAACCTATCAGGACAAGCGGAACTGCCCCGTGAGGACCCGCTGGTGGGTTTGAACAGCTGACCTCTACCTCACCGCTGATTGCTTCACCTTGGTGCCGCCAGGGCTACTTGGAGCAAGTCAGAGATTGAACAACTGGGGAATAAAAGAAACGTGAGCCACCTCAGTCTCTACCTGCTGTGAGGGAACCAGACAGTGGGCACTCCTATCCCAGGAACAAGAGAAACTCCTCGTGTGAGCAATTGTCTAAACGTTTATGACATTTGAGCGTGGAAAGTGTGCCAACACTGTCCTTCCCACAGTGCCATGGAAAGTTTAAATTGTAAGTTTAATATCCCGAGTCCTTAAGGGATATCCCAGCCGTCTTCCTGAAGATTCTTTTACACGCTTAATAGACTCACAGGCATGGAGGCCGTGCCGACTCGCGGCGACCCGACAGGGGCGTCCCAGGCTGTGCATCATCACAGGAACAGCCAGTCTCATTTTTCTCTCAGGAATGGCTGAGGGGGCTTGAACTTCTGATCTTGCCGTTAGCAGCCCAAGCACCACCAGGGCTCCTTATGCTCCATGTAAGTGGGCTTATTCCGAAATAGGGAGATTGACATTGCTGGGTGAGGACTTGGAGAAACTTAACCATCCTGTATCTGTCCCGAGCCTCCAGGCACAGCGTCCCACTGAACTGACAAGCCTCTCCAGGGCGGGCTCTCTGCACTTGGTGTGGTTCAGAACCCAGCACGCTGGTGTTTCATACATATTCCACGGTGGTGATGGGGAGCACAGAGGCTGAAGGCCAGCCTCTCCACATTTCACAGGGATTTCTGAAAGGCAGCTGGGGGCCTGTTAACAGGCTAGTGACATACTGTCCATACACCTTCCCTCTAAATGAATATAAAGAGGAAGAGAGAACATATCAGCATGCTGCGCTGCATTGGACACATCCCCTCTTTCCCTCTGAGAACAGCCAGGAAAGCGGCAATGCATTGAACCCAGAGAGTGGAGACTCACGGCACAGTGGGCAGGTAGACAGAGCACTGAGGAATGCAGGCCCCGCCCCAGTCCTCTAGGCACCGGACTCTAGGTTCTGTGGGCGCTGCTCCATCAGCCTGAATCATAATGACAGAGCCACCCAAAGCCTACATAAAGCCTGGCAGCCACACGGGTGGAGGTTCCCCAGTATCCCTATCTTCTGTCGCGTGGGCATGGGCAATCGAGGCAGTCTCTGGATTAATCAGACTGGACTGGCTGATGGACACTACTTGTCCTTTAATGTGAGGCCAGTTGCCCTCATTGTGAAATGCTTGAACCAGCCCCATGCTCCTACCAAATTTTCCACCACAACCACCCTCACTTGCTGGACTTCTAGCTTTCAAATCCCAGAAAAGGTTTCTTGCACTCAACCCCGTACCCCACTGCCATGGAGTCCCTTTTGCCTCATAAACCGAACCAAACCCATCGCCATCGAGTCAGTAGGTTTTCCGAGGCTGTAAATCTTGATAGGAACAGTCAACCTCATCTTTTTTCCTCAGTGCGGCTGGGCGGCTGGAACTGAGATTCAGCTAAGGCAGAGCTGAGTGCTCCCTACCAGACTCACCTACAAATCCACTTACAGACATTCAGGAACGGTTCTCACTGCCAGTCCTGAGGCTCCAGCCTCCCTTCTAGCTGAGCCAGCTTTGAGGAGTCCTGGGGAGAGCCTCACTTTAAGGCAGCTCTCAGCCTGGACTGCTCATTAGAATCCTCTGGGGCCCTTTCCCTCACCCCATCACCGCCTCTACACTACTCCTGCCAGAACGACCAACTCCTCTCACCACCACCACCACTCTATACGCACTGCCATCAAGTGGATGCCGACTCACAGTGACCCTGTAGGACAGAATCGAACTGCCCTGCGTGTTCCTGAGACTGACTCCTTACAGGACAAAGCCTCGTCTTTCTCCTGCAAAGAGGCTGCTGGTTTCCAACCGTTGAACTTGCGGTGAGCAGCCCAGGACATGACCACTATGCCAGCCAGCCTCCTGTGAAGCTGTTTCCACAGAGAGCTTTCCAGCAAGGCACATTGCCCATAATGGAAAGATCAGCCGAGACTGCAGATTCTGAGCACCCCTCCTTATCTTTCTATGGGGACAAACCTCTCTGGGGTGCCTCCTTGGTTCAGTCCAGGATTCCCCCTACCCCCTCCCCACCTCAATCTTGTTCTAAACAACAGAGTTCCCCCTCCTTGTTTACCAAATGAGCAACAGCCATTAATTACCTCCTCCATTAGGGCTCCACCTACAACCTCCCATTACGAATATAACCCGGCCTCTCAAGAAGCCAGTATACAAACCACTCAAATCCGTTCTCGTGAAACATCTCTTTTAATTAAGCCAGAAAAGTGGCTCAATTTCAGAATTAGGCAGAGGTGAGTGACAGCTGTGACAGGGGCCAGCAGTGCTGTGGAGGCGGGCCCAGCTCCGGGAGGCCTGTCCTCCAGGACGGGGCGGCCTCGCGGTGTGGCCACTTCAGGAGTACATGGTCAGCTGCAGCCACTCTTGGATGGACACCTGAACAAGGCCATCGGCATCTCGGTCCAGAGACTTGAAGGCACGGAACATGGCATCGAGGCACACAAGGCAGCTGATGAAGTCGTTGAAGTCCATGCTGCCGTCCTCATCGGCATACCGGCGGACAATCATGTGGTAGAGCTGGTCATTCAGCCGGAAGCCTGCTGCCTGCACAGCCCCCTGCAGCTGAGAAGGGCCCAGGGACCCAGAATGGTCGCTGTCATATTGCTTATAGACACACTGCCATTTCCTGATGTTGTTCCACAGATACTTGAATTCTTCGAAGCCCAGCTTCCCAGTCGTGTCGCTGTCCATGACGGACACAATGCTGCGGCACGTGTCCAGGCTGAAGCCGTCTGTCTTCAGGTCCGTGTGCTTAGCAAGGACCTTGTTGAGGATGTTCATCAGGTCGGTGGCACCCACCTCCATGTCTGGTCCGGCCAGTTGGGCAAATTGCCTCCGAAATCGCTTGACTTCCTCGCTCTCACTGGCCTCCACGCTGGTGAAATGCTGCCGGGTGGGCGGCGGCTCAGGGGTGTACTGCGCCGCAGCCTCACTGATGAAATTCACAATCCCTCCAACCAGCCCTCTCACATGGCCTCCTCCTCGCCCGGCTCTCTGGCCCCCTCTTCCGAGAAGGCCCCCGAGGGCTTCCCCGAGCCCTCGGTCTGCACCTTCCAGCACAGCCTTGGCGAGAAACATGCTCCGGGTTTCACGGGGGAGCGTGGGAGCTGCCGGGATCTTGGCGATGGTGTGGAGGGGAGCTGAGATGGAGTCTGATGAGCTCCCAGGTGGAAGAACTGGCTTTTCTGGGCCTGCTTATCCTGCACCACACCCTGGGGGTGCTGCCTCGCCTTGGATGGGGAAAGCTGGAAGTCCATCAGGTCCTAGCACCTGCCGTTTCTTAGAGGCACTCACTCAATGGATCTCCATTCTTCTAGATACACATTCATGAGTCGTGCATTGGAAAACATTGTATTTCTTTGAGGAAAAAATACAGGCTCTGGATTTTAAGAATATGTTATATCACATAAAATATCATGTAAAAGATGAAGAGTTCTACTTCTTAGTTCTTCCCTGCTCCCTGGCCCTGCCCCAGTATCTGAGAGATGACCCCCCACCACCAAAAAAAGCCCCCAAACTCACTGACATTGGTTCAGTGCCAACTCATAGAGACCCTATAGGGCAGGGTAGAACTGCCCCTGTGGGTTTCTGAGACTGTGACCCTTTATGGGGGTAGAAAGCCTTGATGCTCCCTGTGGAGCAGCTGGTGATTTCGAACTGCTGACCTTGTAGTTAGCAGCCCAATGTATAACCACTACATCCCCAGGGCTCCTGGAAAAATGAGTTACTCAGATCTTCCTAACAAGAGAGGGTAAATGACTCGTGGTTTTCTTTTCTAAAGAATTTGCCTGGTTAGAGTAGACTATAGAATCCATGGGTATTAGAAGGACATTTGCCGATCTCCCTCTTTCTGCATCAGTTCTCAAAGGTCAGTGTGCCAAGAAACACTTGGAATGGGGATACTTATTACAACACAGGCTCCCCGGGTTCTACCTCCAGAGACTCTGATCCAATACATCTGATGTGGGACCCATGGCACTACACAGTGGGAACCTTCATGCAGGGTAACATTCATACCAAAAATAGAGAGAGCTATCAACTGTAAGTGTACAGCTCAAAGAATGTTAACAACTATACGCACCCATGTCACCTCCCAGTGGACAGGAAACAGGACATCACGGCACCCATGAAACTCCCTCCCGCTCTCTTCCAAAGTCACTCTCGTTCCCCAAGGGGACCTGGTCTCCTGACAGCTCACCCAGACTCCTTCAGCCCGTCTGGCCCAGCAAATGAAAGGGAACTTACAGTGTGTACTCTGGCGTGCCCGGCTTGTATGCCCTGCACTGCATTTGTGAGTTCTGATTTGATATTTTTCATAAGCACCTTCAGAATGGATTCGGTAGATCCCAGATGCTACTTTGAGAAACATTACCCTTAGTAATATTTATGCAGCTAGGTGGCATAAGTGTGTGACTGCTACCTGCCTGCTGGTGGTTTGAATTGATCCAGAAGCACCTGGAAAGAAGACAAACCTGGCACTCTAAAAGGTCCCAGCCCCCAGGGGCACTTCTACTGTGCACACACAAGGTCATCGTGCACTGGGATCAACTTGACGACAATGAACAATAACCCTTGACCCTAGATTGGACCGGAGTCCAAGCCTTCCCTTAAGCATTTACTGGTGAAGCTCAGACTACAGCCTTCACTACGGAATACACCTCAACATAAAGAAAACAAAGGCCCTACACAAACGGGCCGAGTAACAACCCCTTGAAGAACAAGGAAAACTGACGTTGTCAAGGATTTCATTTGACTTAGAGCCACAGCCGACACCTTATGGAAACCGCAGTCAAGAAGTCAGACAAGGGGGTTTCCTTGGGCAGATCTGCCTCAAAAGATCTCTGTAAAATCTAACGACAACACCACAAAGCGAAGAGGTCACTGGGATGGCTAAGATGAGCCTGACGCACGTCTTGGTATGTTAAATCGCCTCACACGCATTCAGAAGCTGGACAAAGAGCGAGGAAGAGCAAATTCGTGATGCACTTGAACTACAGTACTGGTGAAGAAGGGACCAATCCGCCTCAGGGGAAGTGTGTCCCGAAGACTCCGTAGACGTGAGCGTGGTCAGCCTTCACCACACTTACTTTGAATACATTTTCAGGGAGGGCACTATGCTAGGAATAAGAGAGGGCAAGTGAAAAGAGGAAAGCCGTCTGTGAGATGGACTGGTATCGTGGCTAGAAATGTGGGAGGATGGCCCAGGACGGCCCAGGACGGGGCAATATTTCTCTCAGTTGCACATACGGTCACTATGAGTCAGAAGTGACTCAATGGCACCTCCCAGCCCTCGATGCTAGAAAGAGTCCGGGCACAGGTCCTCCAGAGGCCTCTGGAATTCCATTGGTGAACTCGAGGAAAAGTGACCAGGATCTAATGACTGACTCACTTTATCAGGTAGCACTTGGGGGGTTCATTTTCTACCTGCAAAGTCTCCCTTTCTATTTTACAACGATTGAATCCAATTTATTATGTATCAGGACTTGGGCTTAATACTTGGAAGACAAAAATGAATACAACAGGATTGCTGTCCTAAAGGATAAAGATGAGCCCCAGTCAACGGGGTGTATTTGTCATCTGAATTGCCATGTTCCTATTTTACTCGTATCACTACTATTCTATGACATTTTTATAGAATACAGTTTAGGATTGGGATTTCATCGGAGTCCTCTGAAAGAGACCAACGTATTCTAGAGAAGGAACGTATCAGAGAAATTAAGATGTTTATCCAACATCACACATACTTTTTACTGTATGACCTACTCAGTATAGTGTCCAAAGACCCCTGGGTGGTGGTTTGCAAGAAGGTTGGTGGTTCAAACCTACCCAAATGTCCCACAGAAGACTTCGATGTGGAATCTGCTTCTGTAAAGCTTATTGAGGGTACATTCTGCAGGGCAGCTCTCCTCTGTAATCCATGTACCGGCTCTGGTCCCATGAGCCAGTGCTGACTTGAGGACAACTGGGTTCTTTTGTATTGTGTTTTAAATGGTGCTCAAAATCGACAGCCAGGAATTCTGCTGAGGCTCAGGGAAGGAGAACCTTGACAAGTTGAGTCTTAGTTCTCCAAAGACATAAGGGATCAGAAGAGGCAAGACAATGGGGTTTCCAGAAAGCCTCCTTGTCTGGTGAAACCAAAGAGGAACTGAGGCATGTGAGGCATTCCCGAGAACGTGAGAAGCCCACTGCGCCACTCCTGGGAGGGTGGACAATAGGGTGGGATAGGACTGGAAAGGGTTTTGATCTGCCAGGTGACAGAGTCCGTCACCCAAGTAGCTGTGGTGACCAGTGGAGGCTCAACTGTGAAATTAAAAGGGGATTCGATGTAACCTTGACACTCTATCTAGAGCCAAGGATTGATTATCTTAGCTGCTCTTCAGGAGAACAGAAGCAGCGCAGCGCGAGGTCCTGCTCTGGTTAGGACATGGGAGCCATGTCCTGTTGCTTCCTGCCTTAGCCGGGGTGGGGGTGAGGGGGTGGGGCGGTGGGTTAAATTCACCAATGATTGGTCTGTTTCTGATGCAGACAAGGAAGTGGCCCCTGTGAACATAAATGGCCCAGGATTTTCTCAACCACTCCAAAACAGTCTCGCAAAAGGACTTCTTTTTAGGAGATCCCAAGGGGCCATCTGGCCTCCGAAAAACATCCATTCACATCGGCTTCTCTCAGAGGAAATTACCTGGCTTTTGTTTTTATAATATTACAAATTAACTTGATAGTTATGTCATACAAATGAGTCATCCAATGAGTCTCCTTATGTCTATCTGAAGTGTCTTTTGCTGAAGTTTAAATCCAATTCCTCTTATTTATTTTCTGTGAAGATGGAGGGCATGTGGCTAATAGTTTCTCATAAGCCATCAAAGAATAAAAGACTGCTATTAGATTAACAGGCCTTTCCTCTCTGGGCCATTTAATCCCCTAAGGCTATTGATGGGAACATTCATAGCCACTGTGGGTGCTGTCTCAGGGAACTCTGGCGTCCAGAGCTGCAGAAATCAGGCAGGGAAAGAGGCCGAATCTGATGGCTAATTTCACAACTATTTGAGAATAAGCGTTCTTGAACTTAATATGCTAATGGTGACATGGGAGTATTCTAGCAGCATTATTTATAAGATCCATAATTGGGGGGAAATGTCTACCAACTGGTGAATGAACAGACAAAATATGGTATATCCACACAATGGACTACTTATTCATCAAGAAACAAGAATAATCGACTGATGTATGCTAAATGTTGGATGGGCCTCAAAGACATGATGCGAAGGGAAAGAAGGTAGACACAAGAGACCATTCATGGTATCAGTCTATTATGAAATATTAAAAAAAAATCAGGTCTAGAGAGCGACAGAAAGTAGATTAGTGTTTTCCTAGGGCTTGAGGGTGCAGACAGAGTGAACATTTAATGGCCTGGGGGCTCCAAGGAATGATGGAAATGTTCTAAAACTGATTTATAGGGATAGCTGTACAACTTGGTAAAATTACTACAATTGTACGATTGAAATGGGTGGATTGTCTAACACATGAAATAGGCTCCATACAAAGGTTGTTTTTCTGTTTTGTTTTGTTTGTTTTTTAAATCAGTGGACATAGCTTGTTGTCAAAAGAGCAGTGAAGGAAGAGTTCTAGTCCCTGTGCTGCCTTGGGCATAGCACTTCCTCTCTTGGGCCAAACGCTTTCTGCAAAATGAAGAGGATAGACCACTTAACACCAAAAGTCCCTTCGCTCTAAAATTCTGCATGTATGACAGCAGCATCCTTCTCAGATGGCCCTTGGTGTCCCTCTGATGTCTTTTCAGGATAGGTCGGTGTGATAGTTAGGTTTATTGTGCCAACTAGACCAGTGGGAACATGTGGCCTAGTGTGACCAAGTCACAGCCTGATTTGAGGGCGACCAAGATAAATGAAGACAGCTAGCATCCTATATCTTTCTTGCTCCCTGGTGACCGGACCAGAGTGCTGCTGCTTTAGCTAGTTCTCTGCCTCGACCTGAGTGCTACACTACCTGTGAGCCAAGCCAACCCATGGATCCTGTCACTAGATCTTGAGGATCCTTTGAGACCTGCTTTGCCATGCTGCTGG